ATGGATCTTTCATTCCAAGACATTTTCTGTTATTTTTTTTTTAAAAACGCCACTTCTAGGTTAATATAAACTATTAACATTGAAAACATGAAGGGTATCGAACAGTTTGTTGTTTCCTAGTACCTTTTCATAGAAATGACAGAAACATTCAAAATCCTTCCGTTTGCAAAAAAGAGAAAAAATCTATCTCTCGACTGACACATTTCTTGCAAGCTTTTCATTCAAATTCCACCGACAGTGTCGAAGAACTTCCGAGAATGACTCATACAAAGTTTAGCTTCCTGTGTCTCGCACAGTTATTTTCCTCACAAATTTGAAAAGAATTTCATTTTTTGTATTCGTTTCCTACCGACCTTCTGCTGAAGGTCTTTCTTGATTTTTTCGAATTTCTAAAACTATTCATCGGAAGAAGTTGAAGTTGGTGAGTTTTTATTTATTGAGAGAAAAGGAAATTGAACAAGTCAATGATTAATGGATCTTTCATCGTTACGATTTTCGAATTCCAAAAAAAAAACTAGTAGCAGTCCAAAAATTTTTGAAGTTCTGATTAAGAAAGGGATTGGGTTTCGGAGGTTATTTGATCTATCGAATAATTAATATATCTCTATTTTTGGGGAAGTTAACAGGTTTCGTAAATTTACGTTTCTTATATTGTAATGCTATTCGTTATGTCTTCCTATGGGGAATGTTTCGGAAAAAATTTGAAGAAAAAAAGAAATGTTGGAAAAACAGATGGTTTCAGAGGTCTCGCCAACGTCCCCGGAGCCGGTCGTTTTGGAAACGGACGTCTGCATCGGTCAACTACAAACAAGCAAGATCACTGCCGACACCATCACCACTGTCAGGAATGTCGTCGCCGAGGATCTTTGTTTCCTCCACACCCGAATCGCTGATGTCTCCGATGCCGCTTCGGATTGGTTTGAGATGGTTGAAGAACGGAAGGCCACTCTGGAAGGATATTTTAACAGTCCGAATGTAGTGTCGATACATCGGATGATGTACAGAATGTTAAGATATTATTATTTTTGCTAAATGGATGGACCTGGTTTCAGCAGTTGTCAAGCAACTTGCGGTTGTGTCACTTGTGAATGTTTGTTGTGTTCCCCATCATCTCTCTTTTCAAAATTTTACGCCGAGCCGACCTCATTTGCACTCTATGAAGTCTTACAATGCCCAACCTGGAAACCATCGATGGAAATTGAAGTCACAACAATAATATTTCCACCTACTCCATCGAAAATGGCATTCTCCTCAAACTGATCGAAAACTTTTCCATAACCGTCAATTGTTTTTCTTGTGCTCCAGCACCGATTCACAGCACCACATTTATCAGAAGATTCACTGAATTACAGTGTTATTCAAGATCAAACGCTGAACAGTTCAATTGTGTCTGGGGCAAGGACATTTGCAATTGCATAGCAAAAGAGACATCACTCAAATGTGGTTGTAGTCTTCTTGGCCTGGACGATGTGATTTCTCAAAATGTCTTCAACGAGATCGATGCCAAGGAAGGAAATCTAGATATTCGTTATCTGGACAATAAAATTGTTACGAAAATCACTTCTTCGGGAATTATTGCTTTTCAACTTCAGCTACAGAACTTCACCGTCTCACGTGTCAGTCATCATGACGATTGCAAAACCAGTTACTTCACCGATCTGCCAGGATTGATTCAATGTCCGTCGTTTTCAGGACACTTGAAATGTAATATGACCGGAAGAGACAACAAAATCAACATCATCGCAAGTCTTAAAAGTTTGGACGAAAACTGTTAGCTGTATTGTGAATCTACAATCACTTACTTTACGATCATGGGGTTCTGTGTTTCACAATGCTGTGTCAATAGTGGAGTCGTTTTGGTCAAGCATCGTGATTGTTTTCAATACGATCATGCATTGGTTGCATCCTTTCAAGATTCTGATTGTTGCCGTTGCTGGCAGTGTCGACGTCATCGGATGATGTACTTCGAATGTTGAGATATTAAATTTTTTTGTTTTGGTATTATTTTATATGTTTATATTAAATGGGATCCTGGTAGTATTAGGTTTTGTAAATTATAAAAACACCCTCTATGAACGGGGCTTTTATTGTTATAAATTTATTCTCTGCTTTTTTCTGGCTAGATAAACGGTATTGCTAAAAGTCTTCTCTTATTCAACTGTTTCACCATTCGGACGTCTTTGATATGTAGCAAGCCTGTAGGTGTTTGTGGCAGGAAGTAGACCTCATACTAACTCCAATCACTACCAACTCGGGTATGCTTTCAAGATGGATAACCGCATCTGAACTATCTACGGCGCAACAACGCACTTCACCACGGTTATGTTCGTTAAATAATTGAAATCAACTAACTCTATTCTTTTTTTTAAGGTTACTTTCTTTTTTGATTTTGTTTATTCATTCATTTTTTGGAACGCGACTGTTTTTCAGATTGCCATATTTTTTTCTTCCAAAGATGAATTGGTTTTAGAAAAGGATTCTTGACTTCTGTTCGGAATTATTAGTATGAAAGAAGGAAAAAAAATTGAAAATATACCATACTCTGAAAGTTATGAAAAGTGTGGAACACATAAACATCAGACACAAAGCCGGTGTATAAAAACCTGTTTTCTATTCCAGAGAGTAAACACCAACAAGCACAAACTTCTTGTACTTTATTTATCAGATAAATTTCATACCAGAATCAAAAATCGAAGAAAACAATTTTTCGAATGAGATAATTCCAAGCGCTTCTAATCTTTGTCACAAATAGATGACGAACATTGCGAAAAACCCGAAGCCACTCGTTCATCCGTTCGAATGCAGTTGCCAGTGGAACACCAGGAATTCTTCTGACTTCAGGAACTATTTCCGATTGTTGAGCAAAATGGAGTTGTCTTTGATTTCTTCTTGTTTGCAACCAGATATAGAGACGTTGCGATGATTCTCTTCGGGCTTCGAGAAAGTTTTGAGAAAGAGACATGATGCTATCTGGGAATTGGGATATGAAAAAAACAAAAAGGATGTGAAAATAAGGGTTAGAGAAACAGAGTGTAATTTTAGAGAAATAGATGTTGAATTTCATGAATATATTTTTTCAGAAGTCAAGAAGTTTCATAAGGAAGTTGCTGTGGATATTCACTCAAACACCTACGCATCAGAAATGAAAAACAAAACTTGTTTTTGAAAAGCTTTTATACCCGTCCATTTTGAATAACAACTTTCACTATATAATCTCAGAGGGGCTAATTAGACAGCTTGCTTCTCAGAAAACCACACGTGATGTTTTCACTTCAGGTTACGTAAATTATGGAAAACAAACGTGTTATCATTTTTGTATAGCTGATGACGAGAGAATGAAAGTTTTTATTGCAAATTGAATGAATCTGAAGGTTTACAGAACATAATCAAAGTTCTAAGAATTTCGAAAATCAAAATTTTGTGAAAAAAATAGTGTCATAATTGTTGTGTAAAACGAAAAAAAAACATTCTTTTGATGGAATGTTTGGAAAAAAACAACGTTCTTTTGATGGGATGTTTGGATAGATTTTATCGTTTTTGCAGTTCATGAAAATCTGTCCGGAACTTGGGAAACGAGAAAGTTGTATTCAGCTTCAATTTGTGAACTCTTTTCTCAGAATTGGATTAACATTCTGTTATGTTTTTACGGTGTGATCACACTTTCACTCGTTTGAAGCGCTTGATAAATTACAGAAACTTTTTTAGAAAATGAAGAGAATGGATACAGCGTTAACTGAAAACTGGATGAATTCTGATGAAAAAATGAGCACGTGTGCGGCGGAGCACGTCAGCAACAGAGCACGTTTTCCATCCTAAAATCTGATTGCTCTACATGCTATATTAACACTCGAACTGCTGTATGAGAGTGGCGGAGTAGTGGAGCACATAAAACATGGTAATCAGTGGAAGTAGTCCCCATAAAATCCATAACCAGTCTTTTTTTGTTTCGATGTTTTGATACGAGTAACAGAAAACTTTGAAACGTATTCAGGAACTATTTTTCTGGATTAATGATGGTTTAAAATTTATTCGATCCGAAACCCATCTTCACACATTTGTGTTGGTATGAAGAAAAAATTATCAATCACATAGGAAATCATTTGATGTGAATCAAGAAGATTATGAACATGACAGAAATACACATCCACATAAGCATCAAGCCACAAGCATCGCTTTCCGAAGAATTCTCCCCAATTCCAGAGGCATCTTCCTCGATTTGAACCACTGTTGGTGAATTTTGGATGGACAGTTGAGGAAGATTTATCATGATCACACTCCTGGAAGTTTTCAGGTGTCAAAAATCATTTCCAGAAAATAAATTCAAGTTGAGCTGTGATCCAAATAATATATTCAAAAATATAAAGGAAGACGTGTTCTCTAGCAAAAAACTCGAAAAAAAAACAGCAGTACAAAACATTATCAGATAGTGTAAATTTTGCGAAAGACAGAAATTTCGCACAAAAAACCTAGACGTCTGAAATGAAGGGGTAGTTTTTCTGACAGTTTGTATGTCTATCACAATCTGAAAAACAACCATCACTATATAATTTCTGTGGGATTTCCATAGACAGACGATTTCTCAGAATAAGCGAGGTAATCATTAAAATTTGTCTCATTGTGATGGAAAACAAAAAAAGAGTAATCAGAAAACTAACATTAACAATTTGATAACAAGATGCATTTTGGGGGTATATAAAGAAGCATAATAAAGTCAGGATGAAAGTTTTGGGACAATTATCATCACAAAAAATGTTTCACAATCAAAAAAAAAATCTTCGCTTTCGTTTTTTCTTTTGTGGGAAATCAGTTTTCATTTCAAGATAATGAAAAGCCAGTTTTCGACAAAAAAAACTTTATCAAAACTTCAAAAATTGAAAATTTTTGATCACCTATCACAGGCCTAGTTTAGGTGAACCAGCCTTGAGGGACAGTACACGTGATCATCAATTTTCCCGAACTATATACAGACAAACTTGATAATACAGTTTAACTGGTTCATATTCGGGTGGAGGGACTCGAACCCTCGCCGTGTGATTCACAACCAAACACACAACCCACTAGGCCATGCTGGTCACGCGCGCAACCCTCTCAGAGGGTATATATAAATGGAAGAGGTCTCTTTTCTTGCATATTATCAAAAAGGTCAGAACTCGATATATGCATAGAGACACAAAAAGATGAGTTTAGCTAATTATGTGTAGTATACTCATGTCAAAGAACTTATCCATCCGTCATATGAGTGTTCTCAAAAACTACGAAAATCGTTTCCAGTTCATTACAATTTTTCTTTGATATTCACAAATTGTAAATTGGAAATCATGACTATGTTCACAAGATTTCACACAATTTCCCGAAAATTCAACAGATATTTCTGAAAAAACAACGAATCCCCAAATCTCTCTCCAATTTCACTCATACTGTATAACTGATCGAAATGGGCACAATCACATTGAAGTGAGCCATTACACACCAAAAAAAGAAATAGTTGGCCACGGAAAAAATTGGACTTTTCACAAAAATATCAATTTAAGAACCAGTAAATTCTTTTTTTTTTGTTCCGATGTTTTGATATTTGTCCATTTTAGTTTTATTTGAAAAAAAAACTGGGTTGATATGAAATATAAATCGCGTTAGAAGTCATTCATGTTTATAGCAAAAAAAGGAAAAAGATGACAGAAAAGCAAATCGACATGAGCATCCAGCCCTGGGCGTCGTTGTCCGATGAATCCTCCTCCATTCCAGAAGCATCCTTTTCCACTTGAACCACTGTTGGTGAGTCGCCTTGATTCTGGTTGATCACTTTTGTTGAATGGAGTGGAAATGAAGAGAGTTGCGGTGGACCTGACATGATTGTATTCCTGAAAGTTCCCAGCTGACAGACGCTATTTTCATGATCAAATCAAAAATTCATTGGAACCATAATTGAGAAAGACACGTAAAAATGGCACCAAGAACGAATTTTTGTTGCACAAAATCTAATGCAGCAGGACTGAAAAAATTACCGAATTCATATGGAAAAACAGGTTTTTGCCATTAAAACAACTAGATGCCTGAAACGAAGAGACAATGTTATCTGACAGCTTTTATACTCGAGACACTCTGAAAAACAACCACCACTATATAATTTCTGTGGGACCTATTAGACAGTCGAGTTCTCAGAAAACGAAGAGCCATCATTATATCTTGTCTCTATGTAGTGAAAAACAAGAAATGAGTAATCAGAGAATTAGCATATAAATGCATTCTTTGTGTTTGAAGAAACACTAGAACTCCAAGAAAAGTTCAGAAAAAGCAGAGAGTTCATTAATTCAGTGGCTTGAAGACAAAAAACATGGAATGAGTAAGTGGGGAATATCATCAATTATTCAGAATAAGAGAAACATTTTGCGTATAGAATAGAAGCGATCTGCTTCAAGGTAGGGTCTTAGACAACTGTTACCACAAAATAAGATAAGTTTTTGTATTATAAACGCTCATAACCAAAGCCAAAGTCATCAGGTGGAGGAAAATCTGCTACATTTGAAGATCTTGGATTGTTGCTGATATCCATGTACACCGGCTCGTTCTCTTCAACATCTACGACATTTCCTGGTGCATGTTGGTGCCATTCCTCGTTGCCCAAAAACTGCGAATCGGTCGAAATCGGAAAGTAGCCATCAATGTAGGCTCCCACTTGTGGAGTGAATGGATAGTTGGGACAAGTTGGAGCTGTGGCAGGTAGGGCTTGGACACTTTTGACTTTTTTCTGACGTCGCTGAAAAATTATATGGAATAAATTGGACGCGGAATTGATAATTTACCTTAGCTTGTCCCTGATCATCTTCCAAATTATCACCAACTGCTTTCTTTCCACGCTTTCTCTTTCCACAATCCTTATCTGTAATTCTTTGATTAAATTTCGACACAAAACAAAACTCTTACTTGACTCAGCTCTTTTATGATTTTTTGAAAGATCAGTGGTCCTGTGGAGAATTGAGTTGTCATTTGTATGAGAGCGAAGGTGTTTCACGAATTTACTTATACGCTACAATTTTTATCTTTAATCTTTGATTCTCTAACAAAGTCCTAGATTCTCACCCCAAATTCCTGCTCACAACCCTCCCAACGGCAAACGAAATTCTCGAATCCTTCTTTGTGCGTTTTTTGAATGTGCTCCGTCAATTCAGCAGGGTTCCAACAAGCTTGTGCGCACGTTTCGTCGTCATCATCCCTCCAAAGGCACACGGTTAGCGAAGCCGCGTCTGAACCTCTCAACTCCTCTGAATAAATCATCACTGTCATATGATTAATGTATCTTGATTACCTTGATGAGCTTTTCTTTGATGTTGCACAAGTTTTTCCCGCTTAAATTTTTTTTGACAGATATTGCACGTGACAGAATTGTCGACAGTGTGAGAAGTTAGATGACTGACGAATTCTGGATACCCCTGCAATTTTACACCAGTGAACAGGGCTGTCTAAAGCGTAATGGTTTGAATTCTTGCATAGTGAGTAGTCTTGAGGATTTTCACTAGGCCGCTAACTTTACAGGGCACCAAAATGAGAAAATATTTCCCCGCGGTTCGATCTAATATTCTTAACAACAAGAAATCAGTTCAGAAGAGTAATGTATGCTTCTTTGGCTTTCCTCTCAGCCGAACCCTGATATTTTACCTGAAATTCCTTCCAACATCCATCCCAATTGCAGATCAACTTTTCCAAGTCATCTGCGTGCTCTGTTGAAATGTGTTCGGACAATTCAGTGAGATTGCGGAAAGTATGTCCGCACGTCACGAAGTTTGCCATCCAATAGCACTTGAATTCCGGATTCTCACTCAAGTCTGTGCTGGGATTTGTATTCGAACAACAACTAGTCGCTTACCTTCATGTTCTGTTCTCACATGATGATCCAAGTTTCTCTTCAAGGAAAACTCCAGAGAGCAGACTTTACATAGATATGGCATATCTTCCTTGTTATGATGTCCTCGGAAGTGCTTGATATAACCGTCCTTGTCCTGTAAAATAACATATTCAAAAATAGAAGCTATAGGATTTTCATATCCCTCTAAAATAAGTCAAACCGCGCCTGGCGCTTGTTTTGCGATAACTTCTACCAAAATCAAAATAATGGGACCAGAAATAGATCAGAATGTGGATCTCCGTTGGTTCTACACGTTCAAAAACTCAGAATCATCGTTTGACAACCGTGGGGTGCATGAGACTGGCTAGAGTGTCAGGGTCCGACAACCTGGCTCGGACACTCTAGCTGTCCTCGGACAGTCCAGTACTGTCTGGTGGTGATTCTAAGCTTCCAGACATGTGGAACTCACCACTACATTTTCATTGCATTTCGATTTCTAAGAAAAAAGTTGCAAGACCCGCGCCGGACCGGGTGGTCCTGGTTGGACATATATGATTCATACCGTAAACGGTCTGGTTTGCCGGTCACAACCAACCCAGTGGCAAAAGAAGCATCCTGATTTTCGAATATGTTCTTTGAGGACGTGAGTAGTCAACTCGAGAGGAGTGGCACCTGCGAATTTGCATTCTTCTTCATCCTTCTCCTTCCAATGGCAAAAAGAGTGAGGTTGTTGATTCTTTTGCAATTCTTCTGAAAAATATCTCACTGGAGTTGCATTGTTCTCAGTCTTATTAGATTAGTTTTTGCTGGTTAGAAGTCGATCGAGTATCGTGGTTATTTTGTACCAAAAAATTTCATGATCATATTGACCTAGATGTTTGTCCTGCAAATATTTGGTCAATCTTCTTTCCATAGGAAATGCTTCGGGGCAATAGATGCATTTGAATGGTTTGTCGTCTGTATGACGTCGAACATGTTCACGAAAATCTGTCCTGTTCTGTAACAAAATATTCCTCGGACATTGCCATAATTAATCTTACCGAAATTCCTTTGAGATTTAGAGAGCAATCCTTCCAATAACATATAATTTTCGTGGTTCCTTCCATATGATTCGTTATGATGTGCTTGGTCAAATCGGCTGCGTCTTCTCCAACGAATGTACATTCTTCCTCGTCTTTCGAGCATAAGCACCTTGTTCCCATCTTTGGTGCTTCCTGTGCTTTCACTGAAAGAATCATCATTGCTTGCATAGAACATAAGTTTCTCGGGATCTTGACAAAAAGGTTTTCTTATTTCAGTGAAGCATTTTCAGTATGCTTCTATAATTTTCCTAAAAGCTACCGCTTTCGAAGCATATTCAGAACCGTTATCTTCCTGTTCAGCTGCCCTCAACTCATGTGACAACAGAGTCCCAATGTTTGGTCTTTCTCCATTTCTTAATGTTTCTTTTTCAATTCCCGGTGTATTGTTTACTCATTATTATTACACTTGTTATGTATTCCCAATAACTCTCATAAACTCAAAGGCTTTTGATAAAGACTGACAAAGTATGGAAAGTTGTTCTTTTAATGTTGGACAGCTTAATCCTATAATTTTTGCCAAACAATAGATGTTAATTGTGAAATAAAATATGTTACCTCCATGGACTGTTTTCCGATGTCTCTGAAGCCCACTCCGGGAAAAAAAAGTCTGACCACACCCGGGGCATATGTTATTTCCCACTCCGGTATGGTCCGATAGGTGATCCATTAAGTTTCGAGTTGCCTGCAATATTATACTTTTCGAAGTTAAATTGATAGGAGCAATCTGAAAACTCACATTATACACCGTCCTGTTGTTCTTACAATTTTTCCACAAGCACGTTCTAGTTGATCGAACAACATGGACGGCTTTAATGTGGGAATGCAGTTCCTCGGAGCTTTGACATTGTTGGTTGCAGGGTACTCCATTTGTCACCCAAAGGCATTTCTCCGGTGAAAGAGAACAACTTTCCGGATTCTGAGTGGTCGAGGGTTTTGGTTTCATTCCTGAAAACAATCTTAATTTCACCCGAAAAATAATACAAAACTCTGAACAACAAATGAGAAAAGGGCAGAAATTGAAAGCGAGAGGCAAATTACAGTACCGGCCATATTTATACGAACACCACGGAAAAATTCAAGCCATTTTGTACTGAAAAATTTGAAAGATCAACTTTGAGCTAGCATAACTTTAGAGCCAGATGAAATATAA